TCATTTATTAGATGACTTATCTCTAGGCCTTAATTTTTAAATTATCAGAAGCCAAATGTCATGTATTCTAGACTGTTTAGGAAATCGTACCTGGAGGCATATGGTACCTTATAATCATTTTTGGCTTTGATTAAGAAATCATAGCTGTATATGTAACTGGTGTCTTTTACAATGATTATAGATAGAATTTAAAAATATTTCTTTGGGTTATTTTTTTCTTTAGACAAAAGTGCTGACAGAATCAACCTTGAATCCCATATTAAACAGGGAAGCGTTATTTTTGTGTACGTTATGTTCGGTATAGTTTGAGTTCCCATGTATTGATAATGTATTTTCCCTGTATTGTTGAAAATATGTTCTTAAAATTATACCTCAAATAGGTTTAGGTTGTAAAATAGAAGATAAAGGGAGAAAAGCAACACAGATCATATTTTACTCATCTTGAAATGTTATTAGAAAGTTTTTCTCGAGAAGGAATAAAGCAGGGTATTAGTGCCAATTTTAGTAGACTGATGTGCCTGTGACAAATGCCAGTAATCAAGTGACTGTCCCATTCCACCCTCACTGGTAACTCAAGTTTATATTTGGAGAAGTCACGTTGTCTGAATTTATGATAAGAAAACAAGGAAAGGATAGAAATCTTTGTCTTACATTTTTTGTTTCTTTGGAAACAAGCAAGGTAGAAATAAATATCATATCTCATCCTTGGTTGTTTTTATGACTTAATCATACTGCTGAGAATGAAGGAGATTGTTGCGTGGATCAATTCTAGGTCAGCAGGTTCCAAAAGAAAAAGAAGTCTACAAATATCCCTTGTTCGGAGGCAATGATTTCTAATTCCTTGCTCTTCCCTTAGTCCACAGTATGTTCATCTGGAAAACATTTAGTCATTTCTGAGGAGATTCCAAAATGACGCAGTGCCTGGTCCACTGTCTGCTTCTCATAAAAGGTCAAATATATGACCAGCTAAAGGCATAACATTTCTGCAGCATATGGAAGAAATAATTGGCTCAATGGGATCCTGATCACTTGAAAGAATAGATGCAATCCTTAAAAAGAAATGTATCTCTCGTTAAGCCCAGTGTTTTCATAATACTCAAAGTTTCTCAAAAGCTAAATAAAAATTCAATGTTTCAGTGAAATATGACACTGTTTCTGATTTTCTGTAGGGTTATGCTAAATTTATTTGATGCAATTTGGCTTTAAATGATTGTGTATTAAGTGGAATTGAATTAATGAAAAGCGATATTAAGATCTAAATATTTATTTTTTAAATGAATGTCTAAGGTAAAAACAATATAAATTATGTAGTTTTTTAATTAGTAATAATTCAGTAGAAGAATTTCTCCTTGCTCATTATGTGTCAAGATGCAGGGTGACATGATACCAAGACCTTTCAATGAAACCATTCATTTAAACCTACTATTATGAAAGAAACTTTATTACTCTAACACCACATTTTATGGTGAGAATCTTAATGGCCAAAATAATTGGCTTACTTTCCTGGCTTATATTTTAAACTCCTGTGAAAAATAATCGTTTAAAAAGTGGGACTAATTAAGCTACAGTGTCATCTATGACATTAATCAAAACTATTGTGCAGCTCATTTATTTTTCTTTCTTCCAACTTTTAACAGTTTTTTGAAAATTGTTTTTAAAGTTTTCTCAATTTTTTATTATGAATATCACATTATATAGAATCCACAGAGAATGTTGTTCTTCTTTACCTGCCCACCTACAAAAATAATCATGTTGAAAGCTTTTTTAAATATATGTGAAAGCCGCTATATTTCAGTCCACATCTCTAAAAAACTTGAGAAAATACTACAGAATATAATTCCCTGCTTTTGACATTCTGTAAAATGTAAAGAAGATACAATAGCATGCTAACAATAAATTTAATCCTTGCAGTCAAGATGAATATATTCCTCTATAAATTGTTCATAGTCTACACCTCTGGTCTTGATTAGCCATCTCAAAACCCTATGCTGTAGGTCAAATGGGGTCATAAAGAACATAAGTGGCTTACCTCAAACCAACGTCACAATTAGACAGTAACTTAAAACATATGCTGTATTAATATTCTAGATCTAACATCACCGTTTTAGGAAACATAACCTGTGGTACCAGGCAGGGTTATTATTATGTTTTTCAGCAATAGATCAAAATAAAATTCCATGTCAATTAAATAAGGGAGGGAGCCAAATTGGAGTTTCTGCAAATAGAACCTGCAAAATTTGTTTGTTTTTAATGATGGTGGATTTCTTCAAAACTTTAGACCAATTAAATAGTAACTAAATCTGAGTTGAGACATCATCAGACTAAGCCTATGCTAAACTGCCATAGAGTGAGATTTTCAGATGGCAGAAAGTTTGTTTATCTCCAATAATTAGCAGGACCTGACACAAAATGTTTTTTGAGTGATTTAATAAATATCAATACCTTAAAAGATAATCTCCAAATTTGGTGAATTGAGTAATCATACTAGTTTATCACTCAAAGCATTTAATTCACCCTATGAAGAGATGCTTCCAGTGTTACTTTAATGTTGTCTTTGTCAAATGAAAGTAAAAATTACCATTTGAAGAACAGCTCTAAAATTACTACTGAACACAACCACTTGTAGTTCATTATCCCTCACATCAGATTGTGTGATGTTGCTTTTAGAATTTAGTATTAGGGAAAGTTTCCTTGCCCTAATGAATTTAAGGCTATTACAATTCCTTGGCCTATTGTTCCTTCTTTCTCCTGGCTTCCCAGACACACATGGAGCTAAATTTAATGCCTAAGTATTTCCTATCGAGTGTTTTTATAGTTATCATCCCCTTGTTCAATACATTTCCCTCTTCGTGTTTGTAGTCTGGTCCTTTTTAGGAATAAAGGTGATATATGTTAGGAAAGTCAGTGTTTTATTCTCAGTCCTTATTTTCAATGGTTCTTTGAACTTTCAATGTTATTGACTGCTCTTTGAAACTCGCCTGCCTTCCTTTCATGATATTCTTTTCGTCAGTAATACTGAGCGCTGACCAGGCGTCAGGCACTGCCGGGGTTCTCCTGACTCACCCACTGCTGCTCTGCAGTGTACTGGTCCCCCCAGGTTCTCCCACTGGTTCTGCGGGTTTCTTGCTCTTTGTGCTGTCCCTTGATTTAGAAACACAGTCCGTTATTTGAAACCCTTGGGGCCAGATGTGCTTCAGAATTCAGAATTTTTGGAATTTAGAATAAGTCATAGGGTGTATCTACCATAGGTTCTGTGCTACCTGCCCCAGAGGGGCAGCCCCCTCAAATTGAACATATTAATATTTATGCAGTAAAACATGAGCACTTACAGTAAGTGGTATAGACTATAGCCTCATTATAATTCTTAGAATTTTTTTTCCAAATCAGTTTTGTCCCAAACTTAGGGAAAAGCTTTTTGGTTTTAAACCATTTTAAATTTTGAAAGTGCAGATAAAGAATTGGTAGATCATAAACTACTTAAAATATTTCAGGCAGGGTATATCTCAAATCTCTACCTGGTCCTATATTTCCAATACCTTCTACACATCTTCACTAAAGGGCCTATCAATTACTTAAATCTATATTGAAGCGAATTTATTATCTCCTCACCAATTGACCTCATCCTTCAGTCTTAGTCTGTTAAAACTCCTACCATCATCGTGTCCTATGGAATCCAGTTGGCTAGATGATAGGGACAAACTGGAAACAGGAGCACCTTATATAATTAGGGGTGTTACAGTAACTCAAGTGAGAGATGACAATTGCCTGATCTGGTAGTGGCAATGGTAGTGAAAAGGATTGGAGGTATTTGGGCTTTTCTGGGCATCAGGGATGACTTATAGTAGTTATTAAAGGAATAGGGCAACCAAAACTATAATGAACTGTGACTGGTTTCGTGTAGTGGGTTGGGTGTCATCCCACAAACCAGGTCACTGGTGTTCCATTCCTGGTCAGGGCATATGCCTGGGTTGCAGGCCAGGTCCCTGTTTGGGGGCCAGAGAGAAGCAGTATCACACATCAATGTTTCTCTCCCCCCCCTCCCTAAAAACATAAAATGAATGAATGAATAAAAATGCACAAAGTGCCCTGACCAATGTGGCTCAGTTGGTTGGGCATTGTCCTGCAAGGAAAAAATAAATAAATAAAAAGGAAAACAACCCATAATGATGCCACTTCAAGGCCACTATGATGGCTGTAATAAAAAAGTCAGATAGTAACAAGTGTTGGTAAGGATGTGGAAAAATTAGAATCCTCAAACACTGTTGTAGGAATGTAAATGGTGGAGTTGGAAAACAGTTTAAGAGTTCCTCAAAAACTTAAAACATATTTACTACTTGATGCTGCAATTTTACTCCCAGGTATATACCCAAGAAAAATAAAAACATATGTATACACAGACTTATACAAGAATGTTCATAATAATTCATTATTGCCAAATGGTAGACTACCCACCAACTGATGGATTAAAAAATGTGGTCTACCCACACAACAGAATATTATATGGCCATAAAAAGGGACGGAGCCCTGATACATGCTACAACATACATGAACCTTGGAAACGTTGTACTAAGTGAAAGAAATCAGTCACAAAAAACTACATGATTCTATTTACAAAAATGTCCAGGACAGGTAAATCTATAGAGGCAGAAAGATTAATGATTTCTTAGGGCTGGGGCGGGGGTGGGTGGTACTGGTAGACAGAATGGGCCTTAATAGGTAAATGGTACAGGGTTTCTTTTGGGGGCAACGAGAATGTTCCAAAATTATTGTTTATTGAACACCTCTGTGAATATACAAAAAGCCACTGAATTGTATACTTAAAATATGTGAATTATATTTTAATAAAATTATTGCCAGAAAATCAGGGAACGCACGGCAGGGCAGCTATATTCATTCGGAGTACTCTCATTCGAGCTGAAGTGACCGCACTTATAGCTGTGGCATTCCAAGTCTGTGCTTGACTGTCTGACCAAAAAACCAGTAACATCACCAACAGTGTGTACCATTTCAACTTTTATTAACAAAACAGAAAACTAAATGCAGACAACTACTTTGTTTTTGCATCTGATCTGACCATACAGCAGAGCAGGGATTCTTTACAAGTATGTAGGTGAGAACTGTCAACATACCAGCTCCATTAAAAATGGCATACTGGAATACCCAATTAAGTTAGGTAAATGAAATGAAAGAAAACATAATAAATATTATTAAAATAACAGGAATCTCTCCCTCAAATACAGGGGCCTTCTTTAATAGTCTTCGGTGCAGCTCATTTGCAATCAAGATCAATCAGGTTGCACAACCCCCAAAGGAAAGAACTGAGGGAATTCATGGATAATTTTCACAGCATCATTGTAAAGTCCAAGATCTGAAAGAAACATTTTAGCAAACATTTAATCTATAGTGAAAAGTTATAAGATCAATTACTACTTAAAGGATTTCTACCTCTTTTATCTCCCTTTTAGAGGTCAACTTATTTTCAATCCATCTTCTAAAACTGAGATATGGACCATACCATTTATTTAACTGTGGTTCAAAAAAAATAAGATATGGGTTACAGGAGATTATCCACTGTGCAGGCACAATTCTTGCTTTACTGTTTTTTAGGGGTTATGCATTATTTGATGCCTTTAATCCATATATTAAAACAAAAGATTAGTATTATTTTGTCTTATTTTTAAAAATTCTCTTTCCTCAAACATTAATTAATCTTTAGTGAGTTTCCTATATATACACATGCTACTTAGAAGCAGGGGAAAATGTCCTCCAATTTTCCTTTGAGATCAGAAAATTCTATAGAAATTAAAAATGTGACAGGACTGAAAGTTAAGACTAAGCCGTGTCAAATTAAGGATAAAATTGTTTTTCTCCTAAATACATGAAACTAGAATGCTTTATTTACCAAAAGGCTGGATATCTTCTTTAAACTGGACATAAGATGCACACATAATGGTTGCCTTGGCTGTTACTCTTCCAACTACTTCTATGATTCCAGAGATTTCTTCATCAAGCTGACACAAAGAACAAAATATTAACTTCACATCATCACATTTTCAGCTGATAATTAACTTGGCAAATTGCTGTACAATCCACTAATCTCCAACTTCATGTAACAAAAGTTTAAAAATTTACCAATGCAAAAACTGAATTACAACCTGTTAAAAAAATGTTTGAGTACTTATTATCAGCATGTCACAAGTGCTAATTACCTTCAGCAGTATCTCCAGGTCCAAAGACAGTTAAATGTTTAAGTTAAAAACAAAAGATACTGAGAAGTAATTTGTTCAAAAAGACCCATTGAAATGAACTTTCTATTACCATATGTTGCAGTGTGTTCTATATACATTAACCAAACAGCACAAGCATGTGTCTTAATAAAACACCTCCCCAAAACAAAAGGAAACAAAACATAAAAACAAATTGAGAAATTAAAAATATGTAAACAAAAATAGAAGACAGAATTAAAAAAATATAAAACTCTTAAATAAGAAAAATGAAAGATTTACCTTATGGGATTTTATGGTCTCTCAATTTTTTAAAAAAATTTATTGATTTTAAGGGCAGGGCAGAGAGAAACACTGATTTGTTGTTTCACTTATTTATGCACTCACTGGTCGGTTCTTGCACATGCTGACCAGGGATGGAACCCACAACCTTGGCCTATCCCAATGACGCTCCAAGCACCTGAGCTACTAGGCCAAGGCTTATGGTCTTTCATAAGACATGAGAATTATCACTCAGTATTTAAGAGATGCAATAAAAAGTAATGGAGCCCAAAGAATCATTGGTTAGGCACGTAAAAGGATATATAATAAGAGGACAAAAATTGCATTTTACAGCCAGGGAAGTTTTATAAGCTGATCCTTTATACATCCACTCCAAGAAATCAGAAATGTCAGAAACAAACCAAAACAAGATATAGAATTAACTGTAATATGCATAGAATACTTAAACATACAGGCTCCATCAACTCAATGGTTGCACTTTTTCCTTCTCCATCTGAAAGAATGAACATTTTTCCAGAGGGATGAATCTAAAATAGAAACACATGATGGATCCCACATAAATAAAACTTTACAAAGTCTTATTAAAATAAAAATATTAAGTATGATAAAAGATGGGCAAGTTGGACCAGACCTAAATGCGCACATAGCAAATTGTTTTTGAACAGTTTATTTGGTTCAAACTATAATCTTGTTTACCATATCCATCAAACAAGGCCCAGTTATATTTCAATTTCAGATAAACACTTTTTTCAGTACAAATATGTCCTGTATTTTTATTTGCTGTATCACACAACTTTATGCTACAAAATAAAGGGGGATCTATACTATCTAAAAGTGAGATCTATGGGACCCACAACTTAAATAGTACATGTCCTACTGAGGGTATGTTCTAAAAATCAGGCATGATGAAGGAAAAAGAATTGTCAAAAGATCTGGGTTCTAGTTGCAAGACAGCTGCAAAGCGTGAGTCAGATCTGGTTTGAGTGCCAGCTTTGCTACTTGATGTGGTCGGTCTTGAGCATTTTAACCACACACTATTTTTACCCAATTTCCCTAGTCAGAGTAACACCAAAGGAGACTGTGTGGCTGAAAAGGCTAAATAACCCTTTACCTAATACTAGTTTTCTTTCTCTCAGCTTTCTTGGTTCACTGATTTCTGAGTCTTTGGGCCTGTTTTTCACCAGAAGGATAAAGAGGCTATACTCTTTAACACTGGGATAACACACGAGACTGCTACGGGATCTGGAAGGGACCATCGAGGAATGTTGTAGGAAAAAGCGATTTCAAGGACAAAGGAGGTTTAGGAAGGAGAAATGCAGGAGAACAAGAAAGTTATACTGTCAAGTCTGGCTAAACTAAAATATCAAGAAAGTTGATGTCCGAGTCGTGTCTATAATTTCTCGTAAGTAAACTGAAACAGAACGAGGGTGGAATGCGCTCGAACTTTGAACGGAGCGCATTCGCAAACACTGCTATTCCGCGTCATAAAAGTGGCGCCAAAATGGGGCCGCAAGAGCTAAAAAAATGTGCCAAAGTAAAGCAATCAGAGGCGCAGTGATGCTCAAGCTTTCTGTCCCTCACTCTGCGTTAGCCACTCCAGGGCCGTCCCTGGCGGTGAAGTGGTCCCTTTCCCTACCGCCACCCTCCCCACCCCCACTCAAGAATACGGACGGGGGGCTCAGGGCGGCGAGCGTGCACACCTTTTCCAGCCTCCCTACGAAGCAAACTGGCCGGTCGATGAACTGAGCTACCATGCTGGCGTTGATGCGCGACTTGGGCAACTCCATCACCTCCATCATCTTTGCCGAGTAAGACGGGCAACCGGCGGGAAACTAGTGGAGAAGCGAAGCAACTACCCGCGGGAGTCTATGGGGCAGATTTCTCTGGCACCAATCGGCGGAGAGCAGCACTCTCGCTCCACCAATCAAACGCGCGGAAATCTAGACCCGACTAGTGCTGTCCGGCTAGGGGAAAGCGAAAGGAGGGATGCGTCCGGAAGTGGGGATCTGCTGCTTAGTGACGCCCCGCGTCCCGGAAGTTGCCCCTGTCCGCTCAGATGACGGCAGTGGAGGCCGTGCAAGGATGGGGCGGGGCCTGGGGCTTTCTCCCCGGATTTCTATCCTCCCCGCCGCTAGTTGACCCCGGAAGCAAGGTGTCGGGCTCCGGTGCTGATGCGGCAGGGGACTGCAGTGCGAGCCTCAGGTATCTCTTCTCGCGGGAGGCGCCACATCCTTACTGTTAGCCAGCTCCTCGCCGACGGATGCGGAAGAGAGAGGCGGGAGTCGGTGTTGTGCACTGGCTGTTCCCATTTCCCTACTCTCCCTCTTCCTGGTTCTGCGTGGGAAGTGCGTGATTCTTGCTGAATGAAACCTAGGGATGGGTTTTTTGTTTGTTTGTTTGTTTTACACCCGCCCCTGTAGAGACAGGAAGTGGGGTCGCCAGTGATCTCAACCACTTTTGGTGGGCCCCCTTAAGCTCGGTGTCAGAGGGTTGGCTATTTACTTTCGGGGCTGCGTCACTTTCCCTTGTCAGTTTCTCCCCCACCCCCTGCCCCGGTAAGTGGAGGGATGGACATGATTACCTGTATAACCATTTCTAGTTCCGGCAATCTGGCCCCACTGCGGCTGTGGGGTTTTCTCACCTCCATCTTAACATCTGGGAGTGGGGTGGGGGAAGGACCACTGGTCTAGGGTAGAATAATTTACTTAGATCCAGAGCAAGTGCGCTTCTCTCTGATACGTAATTTCCCCATCCGCAAAATGAGAGTGTACGTAATGTTTTGCTAAGTCCCAACTGACTTTTGTCCATATGGTTCGCGGACCGTTTTTTAATTCCACAGCCGTCTTTCCCCCATTGGTCTCCGCTCCCCAGGACTCTGAAGGGGAGATCTGGAGGAGTGGAAGATTACCTGTTTCAAGGAGATTTGGACGGGGCATGGGGGAGGAGGATTCTCAAATCTCTCACTGACTCAGATGGCTGTTGATTTTAAGGGTTTTACTTCCCAATTGGTATCTGCCTTGCCAGGGGTGTTCCAGAGTGAGCGCTCATAAAAATACCTGCCAGCGGTGCTGCAGAAATTGGAAAACCCTTTTTATTGGATATTACTACTTTTTTTCCGAAACTGAATCCTTGAGTTGGCCTAAGGCACCTTAGTTGTCGTCGTTCAAATTCAGGTATCTAGCTGGAGTCCCCAATTTAAGCAAATAGGATCATTCTGAGACTTCACATGGCAATTTAAATTGGAAATCTAATGTACCATAATTAAGTGATAGCCTCTCCCAGTGTTTACTTAGCACTAAATATAATTGTCTTTTAATGTTGCTATCACTAAAACAAATTTAATGAATTTTGTTAACACATGCAGTTTACATGTATTGTGGTGTATTAAAAAGTTGTATTTATGCTGGTGCAAGTCAGTAAAGTCTAATATTTCTTCTTCCAAAGACAACGTCTTTTGCGTCTTAGTGTTGCTTTGGAAAACAAGTCGATGTACAATATATAGGGTAGGGTACAGATTAATGTAATCTGTAATACCGATTTTTAAAGAGCAACCTTTAATGTACCAGATGCTAACTAATATCATTTTTTTATTATAGTTAAAAGACCACTTTCACTTACCAACAGCATATTTAAAGAAACAAACAGCAAGATGAGCAAGATGATTTAAAACAGCTTTTTCGATATATTTTTTGTATTAAAATTCATCATGTAATATATAATGTTCAGGAAAAGTGTATATGGCTAGTATACAGTACTTTTCAGAGAGATGAAGTGAACCATCACTTAGAATTGAGTTTTTATGTATACTGTCAGATAGGCAATTTCTTTTTGTTTTCATTTCATTTGTCCCAGCATCATTTTTGACCATAATCAGTTGCCACCAACCTTTGATGTCACCTTAAGTTTACATATATGTGTGGGTTGTTCCTGGGCTCTTGGTGATGTTCCATTGGTCTGCTTTTCTCTCCCTGTGCTAGTACTCACTCTCTTAGATAATGTGTCCTTATCACTTACATGTCTTGATGGAAAGTCCTTTTCCCTTGCTGTGTTCTTCAGGAATGTCATAGTTGTTCTTGGCTCTTTGCTACTTCATGTAACATTTAGCCTGTGAGGTTCCATGGAAAACTGTTGGGATTTGATCACAATTGCATTGGAATCCTTGGATTGATTTCAGGAGAAGTAACATCTTAATGACAGCTTTTACTATTCTTGAGTTATTTTGGTCCTCTTAAAATCTTTCCAAAAAGCTTCATAATTTTCTACATAGAAGTTTTGACTTGTAGGTTAGATTTATTCTTAGGTAGCATGTTTCTGTTGCTATTATAAGCAGTATTTTTAAAATTAAATATTTTTAACTGATTGTTGCTGGTATATAGAAATGTATTTGACATTTTTTCTGGCTGTGCTGGTAATCTCTCATTTCTAGTAATTTTCTATAAGATTAATTTTCTATTTATATGTGAATAATTATAGTTTTGTTTCTTAACAGTTCTTAAATATTTTATTTTTCTTGCTTTTGCCCAGGTTAGGGCTTCCAGTATCATTTTGAATAGAAGTGGTGTTTCAGTTAAGGTGGGGTTTGACTGCATAAGGAAAAGTATTTTAAACACACAGAGGCTTAGTTTCACATATCAGAGAAGTCCAGAGATGTGCAACTTGGCATGAAACTGTGTGGTAGTGCCTCTAAGACATCAGGGACCCTGGTTCCTTATGTCTTCCTCCTCTTCTGTGCAGAGAACCAGGCTCCATCATTAAGGTTACCTCGTTGGCCAGGATGGGTGCTGGAGCATCAGTCATCTACTTCCCATTCCAGGCAGCAGAGAAGTGGGTGGGCAAAAGGGTGTGCCTTCATGGGACTCAGCTTCCTTTAAGGAGCCTTCCTGGAAGTCCTTCACAACTTGAGGTTCTACTTACTAGGTTAGGACTTTTCCTTCTATCCTCAGTTTGATAAGAGTTTTCATTGAAATGTGATCAAATGTTTTTGCCTTAATTGAGAAAATTGAAGTTAATATATTTTCCAGTATTGAACCATGCTCACATTCCTGGAAGAAACACAACTTGGTTGTGATATATTATCTTTTATGACATAGTCCTGGATTATATTTGCTATTGTTTTGTTTAGGAGTTTTCATCCTAAAAATTCATGAATGACATTGGTCTGTAATTTTTCTTTCTTATGTAGTCCTTGTTAGATTCTGGTATTATTAGGGTTATACTAGTCTCATGAAATGAGTTGTAGAGTGTTCCCTCTGTTCTCTTAGATTCTTTGTAAAGTTGAAATGATCTCTTTGTCGACTGTTCAGTAGAATGCACCTGTAAAACATTCTGGGTCTGGAATATAGGCATACCATGTTTTATTGCACTTTGCTTTATTGAGTTTCACAGATGTGTTTTTTATGAACTGAAGGTGAGACCGTCCACCAGCAAAAAAAGATTATGACTCACTTTATTGCGACACTTGCTTTATTGCAGTGGTCTGGAGCTGAACCCTCGATATCCCTAGGTATGCCCAGTTCCCTGTGCCTACTGCTACAGGCATGCCCCACAAGTTTTCGTAAGTAGATGCTCAACATCACTAAGTTCTAAATATTTTCTAGTGTCCAACACATTTTTCCTTTGACTTTTAGGTTTTTGTTTCTAGACGTATAGGTTTTACCTCATTGAAGTTATTTTGTTTTATGATTACTTTCTAATGTTATTACTTAATCATCAGATGATAAGGTCTGGTACTAATTCTTTCAAAGTAAATGAGACTTGTTTTAAGGCTTCTCAAGTACATGGGCAGTTTTTGTAAATATTTTATGTATGCTTGGAAAAATTGCATTTTCCAGTTGTTGGATCAAGCTTGTTAATTGCACTGGTCAAATATTTATGTTTTATTACCTTTTGTCTGAATAATGTCTCAGTTGAGATAATTGTGATAAGCATCCTACAGATGGTAGCACTGGCAGTTTCTCCTTGAATTTCTGATGACTATATATACTATATACTATATACTATATTTATATACTGTATATACTATATATTTTTGAAGATTTGTTCTTCGATACATATAAGATTAGGATTGTGAAGTCAAATGATGAAATAAAGTAGTGACTCTCTCAGATCACGCTTTTTGCCTTAAAGTTAATTTTCTCAGCTACTACCAGAGACACACCAGCTTTCTTTTGGCTAGAGTTTTTTTGTTCTATTTTTTCCATCTGTACTTCACTGAAGGGAGACAAGGTCTGTGGGTTTGGATGCTCACTCCCTCGTCTTTTTGGTGGTTTATTAGAGGGCTGACTTGGCAGGTCCTAGCTAAAGGGAAGAACAGGTACTTCTTTAACCAGGAGGCTTCCAGTGTAACAATCGTCCGAATGTGTGGAGGCGGGATTCCTCTATACGGGAACTGTATACTTAAGTTTTAGGTGTGTCTCTTGTAAATATTGCCTGTACCTAGAGGTTTACCTTTCATTCTTTTTCATTTGCATTGTTTGGGGTTACAGATATTTTTAGAATCATTCCTATAGTCATTTGTGCTTCCTGTGTTCTGCTTTCTAAATTATCCTTTCTTGCTTTCTTTGAATTGACTTTTGTTTTTTTTTCCTTAATTGCAGTTTATTCCACTATAGTAGTTCATATGCTATATATTCGTTTAAAAAATTTGTGGTCACCCTTTAACATGCATATTAAAGTTTCTTTATTCTGTGTCAAGAGCCTATAATTCCATTTTTTTATCATTTGAACACTATTATCTAGAGTTTTAGGTTTATCTTGAATTCTTGTTACTCCATAAATTAGGCATTATTATTGCTCTATACATTTAATATGTGCTTAGAATTATTCATATATTTATTACTTTCTTTACTTACTATTTATTTTTATAACCCAATTTTTTTTCTGGTAGTATTTTTT